TATGCGATTCTACATATGCGTCTACATGACATTTGTCTTTGGCCGACAATTAAACATCAGTAACAAGCTTTAAACGAGTAGCTTAGCAACATCCAGCCAAGTTACGTGGCTACCTGGCAGGCATGTTTGACGTTCCTGGATCTGATGTTGAACCAGTGTAATATTAGAGAGAGAGAGAGAAAAAAAAAAGTCGGATGTATGGAGTATGACGCTGAATCTATACTGCTTCTAAAACAAGCTAGTGCTTTACAAGCAAAAACAATTTCAGTGTTTCTTGTGTATAAAGTATTGGTATTTTCAACGTGACTAATATGTTATAGAACACGATTTAAATGGTCAGGCTAGAGAACCCCAACATTCTGGCATAGCATTCACTAATGTAGAACTGCTGGGCACAGTGAAGGCAATTAGTTAGCAGCGCTCACTACTCATGCAGATACTCTTCACTGAATACAGATTGTCTTTTACAGTTATAATATCTCAGAAGGTTTAAGTATGGAAAGTGTCTATTCGTATATCATAATAAATAATACTACAACTGATAAAATACTTGAAATACACATTTTTTTTAACAATCATCCGTGTTTTATAGCACTATGGTTAATTCGCTAATTTATAATTTTCAGTTGTATTTTTCTATAGCATATCGAAATAATTAATACATTTCATATTTTAAAACTGAGCGACTATTCCAACCATTTACAAAATTTCGGTTTTGATCAACGAGATGTACATATGCCTTTATACTACAACTTCTTCTCTAGAGTAGAATCTAGTAGCTGAAGTCTACGCCAATGGCTATGACGTCGTTATCTTAAATAATCGAATTTTACCAAGAGAGAGCAGTTTTGCAACTTCAAGTTGTTACGGTTTCAACAAAATCTATATACTTTGTCACACAGATTCACCGAAGCGACCACAAAGTATTTTGTTTTGTATTAGTATAATACTTTGTGCTGTGGTAGTATGTACGTAGATATTCTGTCATCAGTCTTAACTAATAACATCAAACTCTAAAATAAGTTGCTTCTCAATAGCTAAAGGTCACATCAGTCAGTATTCTTCATTAATATACGCTATTTTAACTCCCGTTATTACACTGTCCCTTAAACAAAGCAACGATCAAAACTGAGCAATCTCTCTGAATTATAGTTTTATTGCTAAAAGATTCTTTCATCTGAGACTATTTAAGTATTCTGTTCTTACTCGAAATATCGTTAGTAATAATAACCTCTATGTGAGAAGTTCATTCATACGTTTTTTAAAACAAATTCGGTATTGTATGTATTCCCAACTCAAGAATGACTATACAAGAAAAGGAATCATTAGGTTACTAACCAGTACTTGCGAAATATTAGCTGACCACCCCAAATTTGTCCTAAGACTAAATAAAATAAATCTGGCAAAAATCGGCCGAAGAATATGTACAGTCATTAAGAAACTTTAACATGTATTTATCAATCAGATCGATTATTTATAGCAGCAGATCTTTTAAATTGCTCTAATGCTTTTATATAGTGTATTTATACATTTCATTATATCTAAATGAAACAGTATTTATTATTAATTATCAAGACGAGTTTAATGCTATAATAATTTACACCATGTATAATGTGCAGTAAAATTACATTTCTTTGTTAGCTTGGACTAAAACCAAAACATTTAATTTTTAAATCTAACAACTTGGCACATCAAGTAACCTGTACTACTAACACTGTGCATCCAAAAACCTAAAAAAAATGAAAAAACATGAGCTCATTCCTCTTCATCAGGATTCGGTCCATGTTTTGGACCAGGGAGGGTCAGGTTCAGCGTAGACCTCTTCCTCCCTCTCTGGAATTATTTTGTTTGCACTGTTACTGAATCCTAGGTTTGTTACTTTGTTGTTGCATTACTCACAGTATGTTACATTTTGTCCATTGTCCGCATTTTCAATCAACATACCCTTTTCGTACCACGTCCAATTCATGAAGTAATATTAACTTGTATATTTGACTAGCTTCATTTATGTATAAACGCACTATTAGTCCGTGTTCAAAATACAGTTCCACTTAGCAGTCATATATATATATATATATACACACACACACACATACATAATCCTATTTTTATATACAAAACCATTTTAAAATAGAGCTAAGTTTGTGTCTAGGATTCAGTTAGCCTAGCACTGTTTGGCCTGTAAGATTCTTATTTATCATGTTTAGAGTAGAGAGTTACTTAGGGCTTGGTTCATCATGTATTATGTAACTCCCTAGTTTGCTGATCAGTTCATTTTTATTAATATTTTCTTATAATACTGAAGCGAGTTATCCAGGAGTCTGTCTGATAGAGTTGGCATGTTTGAATAGTTGTGTAGAAATTTTGAATTTGTTGATCGTTGGACTCTATATGCTTTCGTTCAAATATAGTTTTGTATTTGTTGCAGTTTGTTGATGTGTATTTTGGATACATTTATTCATGTTATACAAGCATATTCTACGACTGGTCTTATGTATGTTCTGTAAATTTTTAATATGTTTTCTGGTAAAGCTCCTTGTTTGTTGCGAGTCAGACGCCTAAGGTAACTCGCAAATATGAGCTTCTCTTGATCAATTATCAGAATTTAGGTCAGCTTAAAATTACTCAGCCACGTATTTGAATTTTGTGCAATTCTATTCGAAGACTATCTGCGCCAGCCGTTCCTAATTTTAAAGTGATAAACTATACAGGAAAGACAGGGATACACTTCATCAACGATTAGTTGGAATGGCCATCACATTATAACACCTCT